GTGATCATGCTGAGCTCCTTCATCCAATCACAAACTACCTTTAGTTTCTTTGACTAACCTCACGTGATCATTCTGAGCTCCTTCATCCAATCACAAACTACCTTTAGTTTCTTTGACTAACCTCACGTGATCATGCTAAGCTCGCCCCCGGGTCGTGATTTTATAGCGGATACAACAGGGCCGGAATGTTCTCAAAAATTTGATGCTTAGAAAACTAAAGACGTTTTCTCGCTTCCGTCCATCAAAAAACAGACACAAAAAAAGATAAAGTACCTATTTTCAACGTCGGTAATTCCTTCAGTTGAAATTCAACTGCTATCAATGGAAGCCTACGGTGCGCAGTTTACCCCAACGGTTTGATTTAGTGAATGAATGTTTGATTGAAGGAAGCTGATAGCTGTCGTCTGGTGGCTGTGAAAAACTAAATATATGGATGCTGTCATGCGCAGAAGCGTCAAATACATCAGTATATTTATATATTTTCAGATGATCATGATTTCATGAATTTAATTATGTATCTAAGATTGTCATGTCAATCGATATCATGAAGTAGATTTGTTCCAGTACTCATCTATCGAAAGGAAGATACACAATATGACAGTAATCCATATTCAAGCGCTGTCGGTACACCATTTAGATCTGTTTCATTCTAAACTAAGCTTTTAGGGGTTATTATTTAGTCACCTCGCTACAAGCACTATGATTGGTCGAGGACTGTGCTGTACTGAAGTAATGGCACCAGTGCGTGCTTGCTGCATGCAGTCGTTATAAAGCACGCGAGGATTGACGGAACAAGAGAGTAGTCTTAGTAGAAGCGAAACAAGCAATAACATTAAAATGTTTTGGGTCGTACTTTCATTTCTGAACGCTTGAATGAATAATAGTTATCTTTTGCATGACTCCAGACAGTTCCTTTCCCATCAATGGTGTTTCCCAAATACTTCCCATTGAGATTGGAATAAAAACAAGAATTATACCACCAAGCACCAGTATATAATGACGCACAGTTTTCATAATACTCGTCATTATGTTGATCTTTGGTAGTAAAGAACATGTTATTATGGTATGTCAGTGAGTCCCCAGCGTCACCCGAATACGAGCCAACCTTGAGTCTGTACTTGTCTGATGCAGAACCAACACTAAAACTACCATATTTGGCAAAATACTTTACTGCACTCCAGTCCTCCAGGTCCACACGTAGAGTCGATGGTGTTCTTGCTGTCAGTCGATGGATGTAGTCATTACCCAACCAGAACTCGCCAATCGGGTTTCCAAAACCTGTTTTGTAATGCTGCCAGCCAAGATAAAAGTCAACAGATCCATCTTTTCTTCTCTGGAACACTGTCCACCCTCCTCCGTCAGT